ACAATGTTCCCCCAGGCCTTCCTGTCCTCTACCATCCTCTGGAATCCATTTAAGCTCACACTTTTGTAAGGTAACAATTACTAAAATGTAATTAATGCCAAACAAAGGTGCGGTTTCTGTACTTCACTTAAGTCTTCAGTATAATTTTACAGTTTTAATGGTCTGGTCTGGCAGTAATATTATAACTGTAAGAAACCTCACTGAGATAAACTAATTAAAGTGCAATGTATAATTTTTGTAAAAAATAAAATAAAATGAGATAACTGGGAATTCAATCAGGATTCATTAACAACCAGTGAAAAAATGTATAACCTATACTATAGAATTTCTCAATTATATATTTCTTTAGATTCCTAAAAGTATATGCTCATCATATACACATCTGTTATTAATTGTTAATAACAAGTCCTACTGTTGCAAGTGCTAACAATTAAAAGACTGAACATGTTCACCCAACCCGCTACTTACTTACTTTACCCTTTCGTATTCTTGCCTGAAAATCAGAGATAAAACTTGTAGTTTTGTGGGTTAAACTCAAACCCCATTGAACTCTTTAGCCTAGCCTACTTTAGTTTTAAGGGGATAAAACTAGATGACACCTTCCTCTGTATAATCTATGTGAACCTCCCAGGAAAAAGTAGATCTTAATGAAATAAGTATATCATCTCCATGGATCAATTATTTAAGACAAAATGATGAGAATATTTTTTGTGTTCCGGCAATTACAGATATAAAAATTATACAACCCCAGTTTTACTATCTGAATTTTTTAAAAAAATAGCATAAGAAATTGTGAGTAATGTCCTAATACTATTGCTTTAACAGTGTTGCAAAATATTTGGCAGATTTTTTTTTAACAAGTCAGGTGTCAATGGTATGACAATGTCCAGCCAATGATCTTCACCAAGTAAATAATTAAATCCACTCCTTCTTTCTTCTCTGGTATTAATCACTTGAGATTAATAAACTTTAGCTTTTACATAGCCCAGGACTAAACATAGAGAACTATAATGTGAGAGTAAGATTATCCCCAACAAGATATATTTTTTTCTAGTGTGCCTTATTTCATTTTTCCTTCTTGAATTTAGTTTGAGACACTAGTATCAAATGATTTTTTAATATGACTGTTTATCAAAATGAGCAATTAGGATAAAAGTATGAAAGGGAATATTTTTTTCTTTTCCCAAGTGTTGCTGGTGTTTGGTGAATGTGTCGTGAATGTTAAAAGAAAACCATCAACAACTTATTTTCAATAAGTAATTATGTTTTACTTAAATATAATTAGCAAGGTTATTACTTCCCCAAAGACTTTGTTTTTCCCCAGGACATTTATATATGATGTGTGATACAATCGCTTCTTATTAAAAGCTCTGTCACATATTTAGTTTGTAATTTCCCTTGAGAACAAATTCAGCTTACCAGAAAAATAAAAACTTTGAATCCATTCTTGTGGTCAGGTAGAAAGTCTTTGTTGAGCACATTCAGAATTTTTTTTTTTAATGTTGCAGATACGGGAATCTCCTGAAATCAATCTTGTCTTGAGACCTCAGGGATTAACTGGTGACCACGAAGTCTATGCCAAAGTTGACTTATGGGTGAAATGTCCGCAAACCTATCCCGATATGTGAGTAAATAAAAAAAATCTATTTTATAATTTTTCTAAAATTAAAAGAAAGAAAACATTTTTGGGAGGAAAATCTGGACATAACATCAATAACAGTCAATAACATGTTTTCATGGTTTATTGGAAATAATAGTATTGTTTTATAACTTGGGTAACTCCTTGTAAAACTCCTGTTCTAGTTATTTCTTTTTCTTCCCTCTAGTGTTCCAGAAATAGAACTTAAAAATGTGAAAGGCTTATCAAATGAAAATATAAACTTGTTAAAATCCAAACTAGAGGTATTAGCAAAAGACAGTTGTGGAGAGGTAAGTGTGTAAATTTAACTCTACATGTTGAGTCACAATGTTGATATAATATTTGAAGTTTCAAATGAATATGGCGAATGTGTCTGTGTGTTTCGTGAATATGATCATCAATTTTGAGCAAAAAAATATTTTTCCAGTAATGTCTATTAGCTGAAAAGTTTGTACCAGAAGCATTCATCACATATGTTGCATATTATGCACTGCTGGTGCTTCACACCATGTGTGACAACACCTTTATCTTTTCTTCCTAAGCAATCTGAAGATCACTTTTGCTTCTAATAGCTACTTCCATGATCTTCAGACCTTTTCATTTCTTTCTGTAAATCATTACCATTGCTGGAATGCCACTTTTAGTGCTGTGTATTTTATTTTTGTTTACTGAATTATTTATTGCACTTCTCTAGTGCATTCTGTAATGCTGTAATAATAATAAAAATTCTCAGTAGTAATCAGTCGGTGAAAATACAAAGAACCATACCATTGCAATACTATGATAATGAAAACAAAACGGTAATGAAATGAAGATCCATAAAATTAAATAAAGGTAAAAATAGACAAGCACAGGTATCAAATCCATTGTAGTAAAAGCAGCTCTAAAGTTGAGAAAGCCCTAAATAAAAGTCCTGTCTTAACAGCCTTGGGGAATGAAATTAGTATAGAATCTAATTTCTATACTAATCTAATCAATCTATAGAAGGAGGCGTTTTATAATTATTAATTAATTTATACATTACTTTTATATATATATCCTTGTGTTACTTTTTATCATGCTTGATTAGAGGATTTTCAAAGCCTCTTTGATTACTTTGTGAGTTTTCATTATTTAGCAGGGATTTATTATAAAATTCTCACAGAATATTAACAGGGTCTCATTAGAGTTGGCAGTACACCATTAATGCTGAGAGAGATGGTAATATCTAGTTACTTTTAGTAAGCTCAGTGAGGTAGATTGAATGGGACACATGCACAGGCACACAGACGTACCACAAAAGCTGTAGGATACACAGAAAGTTGTGGGGGGAGGGAATCATCCCAGAAGAAGCAGTAGTGCATCACATAAATGTTTCCCAAAATATACATATGTACCTCGGAAGCCACTAGAAATTAGGCTTATCTTGAAACATTACATTGGTGATGATGGCAAGCCTTCTGTTTAAGGAGAAAGAACTCTTTAGAATTAAGGATTTCTAAATGGACTGTCTCTTAGCACTATGTGCTATTGTTTCCTGCCCCTCTTTATCAAGGGAGAATATGACTTTTACTCTCTTAGTGAGATTTAATTGTAGCCAAGTCATGTCATCTCTGTCATAAATGCTTGCTTTTTAGTATTACTTATGTTAGCATGTGTTTTGAAGTAATCTAGTACCGTATTTTCACGACCATAAGCCGCACTAAAAATCCTAAATTTTGATCCAAAATCGGCAGT